ACGCCTCCCCGCAGCTCCGTGTACCCATTATACTTTCAGGGCTTCCGCATGCGTGAGACTGTCCACACTTCTCCTGGGGTCACCGTGACTACCCCCGCCCCCCCCCCCTCGTCCTCTCGAGGATGCGTGGCCAATGGTCTAACCGCTAAGGAACGCCAAGCATAAAGAGTACGCACCCCCCCTTACACGAATGAATCCCCCTTACCGTGCATGAAGTTGTTCGTCCACATGCCGCCGAGATGGCCGTAGCTGTAGTGCCCGTACCACAAGCCGTAGATGTCGGAGTCTTGCAGATCTCCGTAGACACGAACGGAATCGAACAGCGTGTCCTGGTTGCTCAGATCCGTACACAGTCCGCGCACCTGTTGGTCCCGGCGGTTACACCAAAGGGGTTAGACCTGTATCGAAAGGTTTTTAGTTTTTTGCGATATAGATACACTAACTCTTCTTCCGCTCTATTTTCAGCATAAATTTACATGACAACCCGAATCGACAAACAGAATACAAAGCAAAGGCCTACAACATCGAGTCCAGGTCCAAAAGGGCTGAGGAAAAATGAACCAGCCCAATACCGCAAGGGGCGGAGAGATTGCCCCCGTCCTAGACCGACTTCCATAGCTCGATTACTCCACGACCAAGATTGTCTGTACCGTACCGTACCGAATACCGCACCGTGGTATTCCGTAAGAGTCGGAGAGATGGCACCCCCCCTAGACCGACTTTCAAAAGCCCGATAATCACACGGAAATCCCTCAATGACATGTCTCCAAAACCACTATTTTTCGTTTTGGGCACGGTCTTTGTTGTGGAGCAGTCGAGTTTTGAACACCGGTCTACGGAGGTGCCATCTGTCCACCTCGTATGGCGGTAGTGATGTCACCCTCTCACGCAAAAAGCGACGACAAAGACGCTACCCAGCAGAACCTCTGCAATCAGCAAAACATGGAGGAGATATAACAGCTTGCCCCCTGCCCCTTGCTTGTCGGCATGGCGTAGAGTTGGCAGTTGTGGCTGTTATGCAGAAGTAAGAATCTGAGGGAGGCGTACTGGACCGTACAGGCCAAAAGAATAATTCTCCAACCCAAAGAGACCCTATCAGCACCACCAGCAACAACGCAAACAAATATATATATATATATATATTCTCCAATCCAGAGACGTTACCAACACCACCACCCCCCCAAAAAAAAAAAAAAAGTAGTGCTGCCGCCAAACCTATGGATTCATTGGAAGTGTTATCCTTGGACTCTTGTCGAGATGGATTCGTTTGTATTGTATCAAGAACAACAAAAAACAAACAGGTTTGTCGACGTCCTCACCTTCCAGCTTAGCCCGTAAGATTCCGTCGCCTCGTACCCGAGGTAGGATATGATGCTTTCGATGACATCCATGCGGCACTCCCCCCTTTCCTTCTTGGCCACTCCGTCGCATGTCTGCCCCTCCTCGAGAATCTGCCGGGAAGAGGGTTATCGCCGGGTACGCAGGCGGTTATTTCACCCGCAGGCGAGGAAAGGAGGACAGCCCTTCTCTTAGCCGAGCATGCTATGCATACAGCCTATGATACAGCAACAGCAGTACTGCGCTCGAGATGGAGGCATCGCAGGAAGGCTACGGCCGACATCGTCTGTCTCCTCTCGTTCCGTTCCGCCGAAATGACCTCGTGACGCACCGCGACTCATCCATCGCCTCTAGACTATATCGGGGCATCGTGCATGTTCCCCCCCCCGCCCCCCCCAACCAAACGAGGTTGTACAAGGGGTCCACCCAAGGGCACGGAGTCCCCTCCCTTGCCCTTTGTGCCGTTAATAAAACTCAGCTACGGAACTAAGCTCCTTGATCAGCATCAGCATAGCCCTGTCTACTTGTTGCCCCCTCCTCTGAGGTGCTCATTAGCGGCACCCAGTTTGCCAAGGGGTCCCCTCGAACGATTTGGTTGTGCACGAAACCCTCGCTGCCTGTGCCACTAAAACCCATATTGTACATGCACCTGTCTGAGTCTAAGACAGCCGATAGGATAGCGTGCCTCACGCCTTACAACGCGCAACTCCCCGAGGCAGCCAAAAATAAGGGAAGCGACATGTACGCACATGGCTAAAACAGCAGGCGATACGACAACGCGCCAATACACGAAACTCGCGAAGACAGCCCATATGATAAAGAGCCTTACACTCTCCTCCCCAAGACAGCCTAAGCAAGAATGTGCCATACGTGAAGCTTCCTAAGACAGCCGATATGATAACGCGCCTTCCAAGACAGCTTAAGCAAGAAAGCGCCATACGCCAACTTCTCTAGGATAACCGATACGAAACGTGCCTTACACGCTCCTGGCATAAGACGAACGTAAGAACGCGCCGTACACGCACCTCGCTAAGACAGCCGATATAAGAACGCGGCTCAGCTCCCCATTCCGCGTCATCCGGCAGCGTGTGAGGTGCGAGGTCCTCCTCTACCCAGCTTGTCACCTTTTGCATTGTGTTTTTTGGCGCGGGGGACGGAGGGGACAGGAAAGAACAAACGGTTGGGACATCCAAGACTATTATTCTCTACACGCTCAAAGGGATCTACACCATCAATACCAAGTACAACGACTAAAGCAAAAAAAAAAAAGGACAAGATGACACCTGCCCACAGATGACACAAGAACCGCAACAAATTCTCCTGTCATGTCCACCTGCGACCGATGTTGGCTCAAAAATCGTGAGAGGGTTATGCAGGTGTACAAAGGTTCGCTATGGTTGCGGCCGTCAGGCCGCTTGGGAGTACTCCGTCACAACATGGGAGACCCCGCCACACCCGTCCGCATCTCCCAAAGAAAGCTGGATTCAGCAACCTGTGTGCGCATCATGTAGGGTCTCACGACAAGGACAAGAGGGCGCACGAGGTAACCCAACGCCATGGCTCTTGTTTCCCACCTCGGTTTGATAGAAATAGAGGTGCCCCCCCGCCCCGCGGATCCTGAAGTAGTTTGTCGGTGAGCTGCTCAGCAAAATCTGTCGCAAAAGATGGGGAAAAGGCGGAGGAGGGGGGGGGGGGGGGG